GGTTCGAGACTCACCTGGGCAACTTGGTGAGACCTTGTCTCTACAATAAATCAAAAATTAGCCGGGCATGGTAGTGCACGCCCGTAGTTCCGGCTACTTGGAAGACTGAGGCAGAAGGATGGCCAGAGCCCAGCAGGGTGAGGCTGCAGTGGCCGGGAGCAGCCACTGCACTCCAGTCTGGGTGACAGAGCGAGACTCCAACTCAAAAAAAAAAACTGCCCCTGTCAAAATGCTGCCATAGGTAACAATCACACTTGTGTCTTGTCTTCTGATCCACACTGTACACGCTATGAGAGAAGGAGGCATAACTCCAGGGTGTGGCTTTATGACACGGAAGACGACCGCCTGCATCAGGGCTCGGGGTGGGCTGTGCCTGAGCAGAGGCTGCCGGGATGGATGGGCAGGGGGCAGGGGAGGGAAGGATGGTGCTCCCCAAACTCACCAAGGAAGCCAGGGCCCACCGCCTGCTCCTTGCCCTCAGCCTTCCGGCTTCTCCATGCCGCCCCCTGGCCATGTGGAAGTGCACGGACACACTGGCCCCAAAGGGCTGAAATGGAGGCTCGGCGCGTGAATTCTTGCCAGGAACCCAGAAGCAGGACAGGCAGTGCATGTTTGGACAAGACGGGGAAAGCCAGCATCTCCCTGAAAGCAAGAGACAGAGCAGGAGAGCAGGTTCTGATTCCCGGGCCTGGAGGAACATGGCAGGGAGAGCAACTCCAAGACCATCTGCAGCAAGCTGGACGTCACTGGGGCCGAGCCCAGAAGCCCGAAAACAGCCCTCCCCGGCATTTCCAGCTCGGTTTCATCCACGACCCCTGGCATAAAGTTTAATGTGACAAACATCTACTCCTTAAGTGCAATGTGAGTAACGCGACTTTGTTCCGAGATTTGGGGTTTGTTTTCTTGGACTTTTGCAACAGGCTTGAGACACTCATAGAAACCTCCCTGAGGCTATGTTTAAGCAGTGAGAGGCAGAACCGCGGGTACAGTTGAGAAGTCTGGGAACAAACTCAGCGTTGAAATTAAGGAAAAGTTACTCCATGAGACACACCCAGTGATCCGAGGAACCAGCACAGAACGGAGACCTGGCATGGGGGAAATAGGAGCATCCAGGCCCCGCGGCAGGGCGGAAAGCGGCCTCATAGTCACCACACGCAGCTCACCCTCAGCCACCTGTGGCCCTCCTCTCCTGCTGCCCCACCCCCGCCTGGGCTCACACCCCCTTGTAGTCCTGCCAAGGCCCTCCCTGCATGCTGAAGGTGCCCTGACCTCTGTCTCCTCAATTCCCTAGGAACCGCAGAGCCTCAGCCTAGGCCCATGGCCACGCGGAGCCCCTCACATGCCTTAACTCAGTTAACACCTCCGTGGGGTCATCGCGGTCATTGTCATTGCTATGGGTGCCTCAGAAACCCTCAGCAAATCTGTAATCTCCTGGAGCAAGCATTCCTGACAGTCAGAAGGGCCCTGCCTTCCTACAAACTCAAATACTGGGGGGGGGGGAATGCTGCAGGGAGAACCCTAATACACAAGATAAGACCAGCCCAGCTACCTGGACTGTCCATTCACCAAAAGGTTCCTGGGTGGTGGAGGTGATGCGATTCTTTGCCAACGTGAGGAGCAAACGTTAAAGTCTTAAAGCAATACTTTGCTTCAGTGGAATGCAAGTCCCCTGGGGAGGGAGTCAGGTGGCGGCACAGAGAGAGAAGGGCGACCGGACCTCCCCCAGAAGCCTCCTCACATATCTCCCTTCTTTGGTGGCCACGCGGAAGACCCAGCCCCCAAAAGCAGGCTTTGGAGACCCTCTGCTCTGAGCTACAGATCAGATCCCTTTCAATCCACTTACCCAAGTCGAAGTTCTCACAGGCTAGTAAATGCAGTGAGCTTATTTGCAAGCCAGGGCCATATCTGCCTAGCAACCCAGCACGAAGGCCTGAGGACTAGAAGCGTGGACAGGGAACAAGCAGGCCAGCTTTGCACAAAGGAATCTGTTCTCATGCAAATGCCCCGAAGCCAGAGGGCTAGAAGGGAGCCTTGGGTACAGCTCCGAGGAGCCAATTTTCCCCCCGAGGAGTTGGGGGACGTCTCAAGAGCATCGCTACGGTCTTGCCCCCTGGGATGAAGGGCCGGAAGGGGCTCTGGCGGCCGCGTGGGCTCCGAAGACGCAGCGGGAGGGGCTGAGAGGGCAGCTGAGTCCTTAACTTGATTTCCTGAGTCTTCTGGTTTCTGTACTCCCAACTCCAAAGGTTCTTTTGTTCTTATTTGGAACCAAACAGAGTTAGTTTTGTTTTGTTTGGGGGGGGTGTTGATTAGCATGGTGCTGCAGTGCTTTCCCGGGAGAAGTTAAAAAAGCAGGGGTTTTCATGCATGGTCTCACTAGGACTGAGGGAACAAGGTAAGCCAGCTTCAAACCCGGGTGGGCAAAAGTTGTGGCTGAGGCTGGGTTAAGGCCGCCACTCCAGCTTCAAACACAGATGGCAAATGCCATCTTGGGAAGAGCTCTACTTGCCCCAAGGGCCTGTGCCGCACCTGCCAATGTCACCCTGGGCACATCCCTCCAGTTCTCGTGCCTTGACTTTCCTGATCTGTAAAATGGGGATGGGCGTCACCTCGAGAAGGATGCTGATCCGGTTAAAATGAGATCACAGGCATGGCCCTTAATACAGTGCTGGCCAAAAAGCAAACATGAAAAATACTATTACAATTAATCTTCATAAAAAGTAGGAGCAACCATACATTTGTAATATAATATTAATAACCCATCGTTATTATTCTTCTTATTTTTTGTGAGTCCGAGTCTCACTCTGTTGCCCAGGTTGGAGTGCAGGGGCACGCTCATGGCCACTGCAGCCTCAACTCGCTGGACTCAGGCGATCCTTCCGTCTCAGCCTTCCAAGTGGCTGGAATTATAGGCACGCGCCACCACGCCCCGCTAATTTTTTGATTTATTGTAGAGATGAGGTCTCGCCAAGTTGCCCAGGCAATCCTCTTGCCTTGGCCTCCCAAAGTGCTGGGATTATAGGCTAGAGCCACCACACCTGGCCTAATCATCATTATTATAATTATGATTACAATCATGCCCCCCCAAAAGCCCAGTTTCACTTGGTCAACCATTCATATGAAATTTTTGCAATCATTGATCCCCCCTAGAGAGTTAGGCATTATATGTCTAATTTCAAAAATCAAGTGTTAGGCAGGTATGGTGGTGTGCACCTGTATTCCCTGGGGCAGGAGGAATGGTTGAGCTCAGGAATTCCAGGCTGCAGTGAGCGATGACAGTGCCACTGCACTCCAGCCTGGGCAACAGAGCAAGACCCCATTTCTTAAAAAAAAAAAAAGTGAAATAAGGAAGCTTAAGTACCAAGATTTCATGTCACCTGCTTAGAGTCACTCGAGACCCTAAGACAATACAGGTCATGCTGTCATAGTAAACATGGCATTTCCAAACTGAGCGCGGTACCAGGTCCTAAGCATTGAAGTGTAAGATCCTAAATACCACAGATTATGCATTCAGGTAGCCCTGTAAGCCCTTTAACACTTAAAAAAATATCATGACTATTACAGCAATTAAAATCAGTTCCTAAATACCATGACAAGTGGATTCTCTGAAGAACACCTAGAAAACGTCTCCCTGGCAGGGGCTATTGAAGTCGGCAAATCATCGTCCTTGGCAACCCGTCAGCCACAGCGGCAGCCAGAGCAGGTGGGTACTGAGGCCTCCCCACGGGCCTGACCCTGCCACCTGCGCCGCACAGGCATCACCATTGAGACCCTCCGAGTCCGGGAACACCACTATGAGCCCCATTTCACAGGTCTGGAAATCAACGCTCTGAGAAACTACGTTTCTCCTACAAGGCTTCAGAGTCACGCAGCGGCTCCCTGGCTGTCCTGAGCTGGCCGAGACGGGCACTCTGCCCCCCCAGCCCAGGATGGCATTCAACCCCGCAGACCCCATCCCAAACGGCCAGAGGAAGGCGCGAGCAAGGAGGGGTTCTGATCAAAATGCAGAGCGCCGACTCCGCCCGGCGGCGACCCTCGGGGCACACACTCCCCAGCCAGGCTCTCTCGCCTTTCCGACACCGGAACCCCCTCCTCTGGACCCGGGGAGGGGCAGCCGGCGCCCAGTCCGCGCAGGAATGCGAATGGCACCGCCCGGGTTCCCAGCGGTTCCCGACGAGCCCCCGGGCGTGCGGCGGAGACCAGAGGCTGGGCGTGCGCCCCTCGGGCTCCGGCGGGTCGGGGATCGACACGCGCTTTGTCCCCGGGGGCT